AAGAGACGTCCTTCCCCCGCCCCCCCCTTTCTCTCTCTCTCTCTCTCTCTCTCTCTTTGCTACGGACCGTACCGCGGCTGCGGTGCACTCAAGCTCGCCAAGGGCTACGCGGATTGTACTTTACCTCCGTGCATGAAATGCGCCCCCGCTCTATATAGGATTTATTATGGGCTTGTATATGTATGAATTGAATAGCTTTGGGGGGGGGGGGGTGGGGCCTTCGTACCCCCCCCCCATCCGGAGAGGTCCAACATAAAGCTTTGTCGGGGAGGTGTCCGAAATATTTTCTTGTGTGCCCTTGGCCGGCTTGCATCACAGACCCGTCGTGTACTCTACTCCCCTCTGGTTCGAAATAAGAAATACTTCGAAGTGTTCACTTCGAAGTACGAGAAAGATCGGTTGGGATAGTCCCAGGGTAAAATTGGGTATCAAGACTCGACTCAATTTGGGTCAAAATCGGCGATACAGAACGCCACCACATCAGAACTTAGCAGTGAAGAACTTGAGCGTCACACAATCCAAAATCTAGAACTTGGCCATAAGAACATGTGCTCAATTCCGACGTGGCAATAAGAACAAGAACCCGCCCTCATGTTGTACCAATCAATGCGCACACAGAAAGAGCAGCGCCCCAAAACGCAGCGACTGCAAGATCAGAACTCAGGAAGGTTGGGCGTGACACAATAAGCAGTTGCTTTCACATTCTAGGCGGGGGGGGAAGAGGACCTTGTGATACAATGTTAGTACGCGCGGAGAGGGAAGGCGTACTCTCTCTCATGCTTCGCATGCCTTCGCGGTTAGACCAATGACCACACGTCCTCGAGAGGGCGCATCATTGATCCCACAGGATCAATCACTGATGCCAATCGTTCCTTCCTACATTTGTGTATACTTCGAAGAACATTGCCAAAGCTGGCTCAATAATGTTTTCCCTGGCCTATCCATTCTATCAATACCACTGCCCGCGTTTTCAACCCACTTTCTGTGCCCCAGTACAGCTACCGTCTTCTTCTGGGTATTCCATTCCTCAAACGGGATGTATCTTTCCTTCTACTCAACGCGGACGTTTCGCAACAGCATGAACCCGGTTTTCGCACTCGGAACCGCATTCACATTTGAACTTGTCGTCGTCATCTTCTCCTTCCTGAATGTTTGTAAACGTAAGGGTCGTTGTCCCCAGTCCTTAATTTTACCTTCGGTTGTGTCCCTACATCCATTGGTCCATGAAGGTGCTCCTTAAATCTCTTCCTTCTTCAACATTCGTCAATGTCGAACCCCTTCCATGTGTCATCTACAACATGAACCCACTCCGTAGGTTGGTACATCAATTCTTCCTGTTCGCCCACTTCGCCTGCTACGCAATTGTCGGCAACCTTTCCTCTCCCATACCGTACATGTGGTACTGTCATCTAGATGGGGATTTTCCCACTACATTGTTGTACTCTTACAGAAGTATTGTCTCGGGATAAATTTCACCCAGAAAGATCTGCGTCTTCTGCATTTGGCAATCGGTTCAGGAATATGAACAAGAATCCCGTTTATTGTAGGTGGATGCCTGCTCAAATAAGAACTTGGAAAAAAAGAACATGTGCTCGTTTGGGAGCGACCAAATAGCGTCGAGCCTCATGCTAAATATGCGGTTCGTAAGTGGTGGCGCGTTCTGTACGCGATATCGGTATCGCCGGTTTCCACGCCGATACATCTAGATACGAATCAGTATCGGTATCGAGATATCGGTATTATCGGTATTCGATAGCCTCGATACTGGCCCATTCGGGACTCCCGGGTGGTCATGAATTTCGCCGGGCCTCCGTTTTTTCCTGTCCAAGGGGAGTTCGACATTACTTGACTGAACGGAAGTATATGCAGACGATTCATCACAGAGCCCTGCCTATCGTGGGGATGTCCCACCTTTTACTGTCAGTCCTGATTTCAAAGGTGATCCATGATGCTGTTTTCTCCGAAAACAGAAAACAACCCCCTTAACAGCCGTATCGGTATCGAGTATCGATATTCGATACGTATCGAGCCATTTTCCAAATGTCGAAGAAAATATCGGTATCGACGTTTATTTGTCGATACGGTGGGCGTATCGTATCGAACCTTTTTTCCGGACGAATTCTTAGCAGTGGATGGTCCAATAACTATACGAAAATGGGTCGGTTCTAGTTGATTTAGGTGTGTATTGTTCCTGTTCCTGTTGGAGATATTTGTTGGCATGATGCTCCGGGTAGCGCTGCTTTAGGTGTAAAAAAACACGGGGATGATGACGTGTCCCTTCTCCCCCTGAGAATATAATTTACTCAGTCGGCAGTCCTCTCAAGCGAAAATCATCAGTAATGAAGTGCGTCGTTTTTATTTCTCGAACGCCCCCCCCGAATACCCCCCTTCGGTGTTTGCCATCGGGGTTGGGTTTTCGTCGCTTGGCAACGACGTTGTGCCCCCACCCCCCCCGCCCGGTGTTTGCCATCGGGATTGGGTTTTCGTCGCTTGGCAACGACGTTGTAAAACAAGCCAATTCACTTCGTGAACTCGGCAACCAGGTTACCGTTTTTTTTTTTACCTTCTTTTTTTTTTTTTGGCGGTAACCATAATGGTGGTCGAGTAGATCATGTTGTGCGGGGTGGAGAACCCGCTCCGCGCAAGGGGGATGATCGCACCACGTTGTGTTAAAATGGTCAAGCACCCTCGAGGCAGTTACACAGTGCTTACAACTGTCTCTGGAAGTGAAAGCACCAGAAAATAAATTAAGTCATACGCAGCTGTCGTCCGTACTCAAGGAAGTAAGCACAAGATGCCGAAAACCCTTAGCAGGATGCAGCGCACCCTTCATGCGACTCGCCGAATGTCTCACGGCGCTTCGCGCTTGGTGATGTGAGAGCCTGGTCCGGTGAGAACCCGGCGTGCTCCGTCCCGGCTTTGTAGGGATGCGAGGTCAATGGTCTCACGACTACGGCATGCACGACTATGAGTACACCCCCCCCCCGAATAAAATTATACGAATGTTTTTATTTTTCGCTGTAATCTTGGCTACTTGAGAAATCCTGACCGCAACATTTTTTTTTAATTGTTCGAACGTATTCTTTGGTGTTGACTGGAAGCAAAGCGTCAGGGTGGCAAAAACGAGACACTTGAAGCGAGGCAAAACCAAAGGGAAGAAATATATATTTGAAAACAATCAAGTGTTTCATTGGAAAATATATGTGTTTCGAGCGGGGATCGAACTCGGGGCCTCCGCGGTACACCGTCTTCGTGAGGAAGTTTCGCCCAGTGTCGGATGTAATAGTGTATTGGACCAGACGCAGTATACTGTAAAAGGGCTCAAAATAAGTCCAGTGTTCAGCAGGTTCCTTTCTCCACCCGCTGGTGTAGTCTAAGGAATTCAACATAGGGCGGGCGGCCAAGATGCGACGGATAGACAGACACCGAGACGAAACAGTAGAGTGGATGAGGTTTGAACACACCAAATTACATATGCGAGACTACAACGAACTATACCGCTCGAGGGGAGGGGGGGGGGCGTGTGTTGACCAAGCAAACATCGAATTAGCTAGAGAGGGGGGCGGCGTCCGTGTGCTGAACAAGCAAACAACGACATAACTCGAGCGGGGGGGTCTTGGTCGAGGACGGGAGTCTAATAGCGCAAAGAGCCACACAGATAATATGGCATCACACACTCGTCTGCAGGCTCTATTTTTCGACCGCTCAATAAGGGCATTCTCCGACATGCCTACATGTAGAGACGGCAGGCGCCGCAACATTCCGACCGAAAAACAGATGGATGGTTCAGGGACAAGGACGCGCGATGTGTCGTCGTGCTGCTGTCGTGAGGGCAGGTCGCCCGACCACCGTTTGTAAATAAATAATGGTGGTTGTTTCATATCAACAAATGGTTATCTTTCGGTACGAAAGTTCATATCGTCCAGAGGCAACGAGAGAGGGTTCCTCCGGCCTAGGGAATACCATTGGCTCCAAACCGATCACCCTGATGATGTTGTGACGGTGCCATGCATTATTTTGTGTATGATGTACTTGTCGCTTTCGGTCCGCATCCGTGTGGGACTCGTCGTAGTTCTGTGTTGTGCCGTTCCTGAATTTCTGTGCTTCATTTGTGTCTCTACCCGGGGTTTCTTTCGTTCTACTGATGGCACTACCCGTGATCATGGCGGTTTGGGCCGCAGAAACTTTCGTTGGGACTGCACGTAGTCACGCAAGCCGAACCCGTCGTCAGTTCCCGTTTTTCTTTCACTTCGTCTCCAGTGGAAGCAGCAGGCAATGTACGAGCTGCGCGCAGCCATTCGCGACCGTCAGAGTGTCGCGGAGGGGTACGCTCGTGTCGATAAAATTCCGGGCAAGATTTCAGAGTCGCTGATGCACCAAGCGTTGCTGGCGCGTGATCCCGAAGATGGCCAAAACCTCATGGCATACGCTGCTAGATGGGGACGGAAGAGGTGGTTTCTTTACCTCGTCCAACACGTTCGAGACAAGGTGCGACACTCACTACACCCACGTCATCCAGCAGCTTCAGGCTTAAAAGTATGAGATCAGATGCGACGCTCTGCACACCACATCTGCTTTTGGCTCAAGTACGGTAGTCATGTTCCACGGTTGAATCTGCGTGACCATGTGGAAGACGTGTTGGATCAAGCAAGACGACACACATGATTTTGTCGACAGACGATCGTTGTTCCGATAACGTGGAGCCGCCTGTAGGTAAGTTGACCAGAAACGTTCGGGCTCAAAATGCAGGATACGCAGCGCCATACCAAGTAAAATCATCTTAAGTGGGGCATTCGATCCCTGTGTTCTTCGATTGGGCTTGTTGCAACCTTTCTTGATGCCCTCTGTCGTTGGCTGCTTTTTCGCACATATCACGGTCTATTCGCGCATGTAACCGCGTCTCGCGCGTATCTGTACGCGTGCCAGCTTGGGGTGGGTTGCCTCGTGAAGCAGCTACGAGCGTGGGACATCAACGGCACGCCCTTGCTGTTTCTGGCGATATCCAGCCGTAGCTCCGAAAATTGCTTCAAAACGGTGTATGATGAGCTCGTCACTGCCCTGGGGAAAGGTGAGCCAGGAAAGCCCACCGTCGGCGCAATTGTTGCGTCTTCACAAGAACGACGATTTTCCTCATTTTCTACCTGTGAAAGTGGATGGTTTGCCGGCGTCGTCCGCTCGAAGCACAAATATGAAAGCGTAAGCGTGTGTGTGACAAAAAGATATCATGGCGCGTGGGATGAAAGGGTTGTTCAGGGTAAGGGAGGCAACATGACGTGAGGCGTGGAACCCGGGGAAGACCAATCGGCGTGCATTTGCATGCGCCCCGTTGCTTCAGGCGGCCTTGTGGAGCAGATTGCAGCAAGCGACGACTTGGGGAGAAATATCGTGATGTACGCTGCTCGAGGCAACAGTGTCGACGTCTTCAAACGCGCATGGAAAATGTACCATTATCATCAGCGCACGTTTGCCAGCCCAGTCGAGGGATGGGGGGGTGCTCCTTCGATTACACTGCCCAAAGTCGACTACACTGGAAGAAACTTGCTCCATCATGCTGCAGAAGCCGGCTGCCTGGACGTGATTCACGAGATTCTTCTGATGGTACGAAATCTCTCCGATTCCACTAACGTAACGATGCACAAGCCCGACAAGAACGGGCTGACACCCTTGCACCACCTGCTCCGCGCCAAGTACGGCGAGCCAGAGGTTCCAGATGATATCGAGGATCCAGCTGAGTTCCCTCAGAAGTTTGAAAAGCTCTGGTTTTATGGCAGCAAAGGCAGCTTCATGGCACGCCGGAAGGTCATGCCATTGCCACGTGATGGCCGGGCTGCCGTCGCTGTTTCCGCTATTACGGATGTCATCCACGCGGCACGAGGAGGCCTGCCTTCCCTCCAGCTGATTCTAGCCAAGATTTGCCTCACGAAGTGCTGGCAGGGAAAGCCCAACAACACGGTTGTTACGATCGAAGAAGCCCTGTGCGTGGCTGTGCACGAGACGATGGAAGGCGAAGATGAGACGAAGGAAGGCGCAAACGAGACGAAGGAAGGCGAAGACGCCCCCGAGCAAGGCGAGCTTGATGCGTGGGGATGGGGCATGCTCTTGACGGCTGCGGCGAAAGGTGGACATGTGGACGTTCTCGAACACGTTGTGCACGCGATAAAGGTGGGTTTGCGAGCGATTCCAGAAATCGTGATTTTCGGCCTTCAATCAACATCACGAGGTTTCAGAGGTCCGCTATGCTCCCGCAGGCAGGGTACGTTCCGGGTACAATGACGTGTCACGCTTGCACCGATCTTGATTGCAACACGCGCGCTCTTGTTGGTCTTGCCTGGTTGACACGAACTGCTGAACGCCCCGCCCAACACTACTTCCTTCATGCTGGCCGGTGTAGACTGGGAGCTTCGTTGAGGGCCTCTCCGACAGGAATGCCGACCAACGACACACGGTGTACACAAACGAGGAGCTTCAACGGGTGGACAGAGCAGTCGAGGCGATCGTATCGAGCGGAAGCTATTTGTTCGGTCAGGCCGTCCTGTCGGGCAAAGCCGAAGCGGTGCTGTGGGTCTACCAGTTCTTGGCTCAGCGATACCCTAAAGAGGTACGCGTGCTTCCATTTAAAGTTGTGAGAGCTAATGCTTCAGTGCATTGTGTTGTTTGGTAGGGTCCTCTTTAACTGTCTTGGAAATGCGTCCAGGCACGCACCTAAAAGTGCAGAAACTGTCGTGCAGAACACCACTATGATCCTTTCCAGCGGCCGTGCACCTATTCCGTACAACTGGAAATTCAAACAGGGTAGAAACCAACAACGCTTGCTTGAGCACATGCATACCGTGTAGTGTCTTGCTAGAACCTGTGGTTGATTCTCTTAATGAACTATACATTGCGGAAGTACAATCTGGTGGCGGCATGTTACTCGCGTCCATGAAAGCATGGGCAGATTGTAGCCGAACGGTACGGGGCGAGTCCAAAGTAGATTATTCTGACCCGCGCTTCTGCTGTAATACGCTGCAGTTGTGGAAGAACGTCCGTGGAGCACAGGACAAGATCAACGCATTGACATGCGCGTCGTCCTCGTCGATGAAATGCGAACGCCAAGGTGTCGAGGTTTTGGTGGCGGTGTACAGTTGCCTGCAGGAGGTGAGCGAAAATATATAGTCTTGCCTTGCGGTGATTGGCCTATCGCAGACAACGAATGGTGCGTGTCGATTCACTTCTACGTCCTATGAATGCGAGCAGACGGACTCACCGCAGCCAATACGGACAACTGTATGTAGACAACCACGTCGCCGCTGCATCACACCGTCCGAAGCGAGGATGGTCATTATTCGGCTTTCTATTCAAAGGAGCAAAACAGCAACCTGTTTTCGGCTGGCCTGGTACTCTTTCTCCCGTGCTGCATTTGTTATCCACTAGCACTCACAATGAGTAACCACTGTAAAATATTCTTACCACTGTTGCTGTTGGTGTGTTTTAATTGACAAGGCGATTCTTGTACAGGTATTTCGTGCCACTTCTCGAAGTAATAACGTCTTTTCTCGGGTACTTGAAATTGCAAGCAAGGGCTATGACCAATTGAGCCAGCCTCAACGGCGTCCCGTCACACCTTGAAAGAAATTTCTTCCCGAGTGCCTTCAGTGCAACTATATCGGGGGAACGTTCTCGTCGCCACTCAGATCGTAGATGCGAGGTTTCGCCTCCCATTATGCCAGCTCTTGGGTGGTTTGAAACCGATTGGAGGAAATGCACCGGACTGTTTTTGGCCACTCTTGGTTGGTCTTACATAATCGGACCCTTACGTCGCTATACGATCAGTTACTCTGTGAAGGTCGCCAAAATGTGTCCCATCTGCGTGACGAGCGGCCACATCAAACGCATACAGTGTAGTGATGCCAAGTGCGAGACAGCAGACATGAGGTGAGCGTCATACAAATATCTTCTCGTGAACTGATCAAGAACACAGCAGGAATCCGGCCGACTGCAGCACAAGCACAGTATACAATCACACTGACACCAATCGTTTCGCGGAACGACTTTCGCTGCCGCAGGCTGCGAAATATGAGTTTGGCACGCCTGAGGATGTCACTAAGAACCTCAAAGAGCTGTTTCTGTCAAGGAGCCTTCCAATGAAGCCTACCGGAAGCAAGTCATCCGCTCGTACGACGGTCGAGAGCAGCAGCACCCCGCTTGCCGGGGCGGCGCTGAGCGGGAACTGGGTGTTGTTCCAGAAGATTTACGAGATGTACGAGCGCCTCACCGACCAAAGATGGTCTCGAGAGGAGGTGGGGAGAGCTTCTTCGAACCAATCACGTGTCGAATTTCGCAGATCCGAACGCGTTTTGATCTTGTTTTCAACGTCCAGTGTGACGGGTCCCCTCAATTATGCAATTTCTCATTGGCTCGTACAGAAAGTGCGCAGCAGTCCTGGTTGTGGGTTCAGACGATGGTGTACTGTCATGAGGGAGTTGGTTACAACAAATGTTCATCCATTGACCATTCTTGACACGACTACCTCCTTCCCTTCGCTGCCTTGCAATACATGTACGTTGTACCAGCTGTTGCGCCATCTCCCAATAGCGTCGCAGGACAAGATTATGCTAGGGCAATGCCAGGCCATGCACGAGTGCGACCCACACGTGCACACGTCCTTCGGGCGGGGTGTGGGGAATGTGACGGCTGTCATTTGGCGGGACCTGGTCGAGGTACGCAAAGTCTTCGTTCATCCGCAGGCATACCGGTGTGTATGGTTCCACAAGATACCCGGGACCGCTTCTGCCAAATTCAAAGGGTTCACATTTCGTTGCCGCGCACAATTCTTTTTGTGAGAGTGGCTGTCAGATAAGTCGTTGTCGCGCGTATCCTCTTGCTGCTAGTTCAAGCCCTCGACACACTCGTGTTCTTCGTGAATATTATGTTGCGGCAGTCTCTCGTGGCAAACACTTGGTGGCAGATGCGTGTGCGATGGAAAAGCTGCATAATCTATGCCTGGTTTTCCTCGGGGTATCCATCCCCCTGCGCGTTGCTCTCGCGTGGTTTCTAGGCGTACCAACGTGCGGAGGTCAAGTGCGCGGTAATCGAACTTTCAGAGATGTCGGACATTCCGTCGTGGCGAGATACGTTTAAGTCGCTCTCGAGGAAAGCGGTAGGGTTGGCGGCTGAAAGAGGGGCATTCGACGATCTGCGGTAAGTTGCGCTCTCAGCAGCATTGATTTCATTGGCCATGTCAGCAACAAACCAGGAATAGCGCGAACGAACAAAAGACAGGAGAATCGATAATTCTTTGTGCGGCAGGCAAATGAGGAAGTAATCACGTGAAGAGGAATGATGTTGTCGGAGATTGAAATCACATCTTGCACTGTATGCCGTTGACTCGCACTAGCATCGCGGGAGTACCGTTAAGCAAGGCACGGCCTTACACATTCTGATCAATTCTGGTTTCGTCCACGACTTTTCAGGGAACTTGTCAAAGCCGGACTTCCTCTACACGACGATCTGATCCCGACTCTCTTGACAAGGTGAAATGCTCGTGCAAGGGGAAGAATATCATGGTGCGTTTGGAGGTATTCTCATGTATGGGAGTATATCCTTGTAGACTTCAGAGGGTTCGGGCAGCTTCTTGGCGGTACTCTACGACAGTCTCCTGCTTCCTGTGCGCTCAAACTATGTGAAAAAAAAAAACACTTGAAACCGACGTTGCACATCACAGACAGAAGGGGAAACCAAGCCCTTGATCCACCTCTAAAGCTTGTGCTTCGTTTCGTATTTCCCTGTCGTTGTTGTTGTTCAGCGCTGAAGACGAAGAGGAGGTCATGGATATCGTCATGTATGCGGTCGGCAACGCCAGGTAATTCCTAATCTCCCTGTTGCTCTTATGCCTTCCTGGGCATGCTTCGTGCGCTGCTGCTTCACGGCCTAGGTCCCTTCGTGCATGCCAATCCTACGTCAAAGTCGTCCATGAGACCTTGCACGTCAAGAGTTCCGTGCCAACCACGAGAACTACGCATAGGGCTGGCTTCTTGGTTAGGAAAAATCGTATCCAGGGGTAAAAACGTCTCATATCCAGAGCTAAAGACGTCTCATATCCAGAGATGAAGACGTCCCGGTTGAATGCTACATGCGGCCAACTATCTGCGGAGTACTAAGCCTGACCTGATCGGGACTCCATATTTCCGTCATCGCAACGAATTTATGTAGCAACCCGTTGGTCATGGGTGCGGGCGTATCCAAGAACCTGAGAAGAGCCGAAGTCGACTGCCCAATGCATCGCGCGAAACTCCGCTGCCTTCAGCAGATCGTCGATCATCTCATGAACCAGGTACGGGAGACTCCATTCCCGCAATAATGGGGCATCCTTTTCTCGTTCACATGACAACCAAAGAGATTTTTGCATGTAACGCAACGCAAATTTGCCTCTGAAGTATTGTGAAGTTTCTTTTCGGGTGCTTGACCTCTTAGTCTATGTTTTTCAATTGTTGTTCCGGGTGCAAGCCACGGGTTGAGCCCAAATTGCCTTACATCCTCGTATTCTCTGCCCAGCTGCTGGACAAGCTACCTCATACTGTCAGAGGGATGGGCATGACGTTGCTTCGTCCCATGGTGCCCCACCACCGTCTGCCTGGGCTTCAACAGCACAGACTAGATACGTTGGCGAACCTCGCCGGCTACATGGTCGTGGTGAGTCACCCTGAATAGACCATAACAAGCTATGTCCGAAGGCATAGCGACATCGCTTGTGTCCCAGGTTGTGGTTGTGGCAGGTTCTGACTTCATTTCATTCATGCGTTGTTTTCGGCGGCGAAGCACATTCACATGGAAGGGCGTGTATTTTCAGTCCATGCCCTCGACGTTTGAAACGATTTCAGGGACGACTTCAACATACTCCGACCAAAAGCACAGACGTTATCGACTGGACGGCAGCTGAAATCGATACTAATTTATCATGGAGACGCCTAAACAAATGTGTGCAGAAGTCACATCCGAGCGGTTAAACAAGAAACGCAGTAACTGACTTGCCTTCTGCGCAATTGTTTTGTTCGTGTGTGGTTACAGGAGTGGATCTTGGAACCGCGGCATCTGAACCGGCAAGCGACCGTTGGCAAGAGGTGAACGTGGTTTACCGTTTTCGATCATCACTGACATTGCTCCACTCCCATCATGCCGAGAGCAAAATAGCAACTATCTTGTTTCTTGTTTCAAGTACACTCGCAGTTGCTGTTCCAGTAAAGTAGAGGCAGTCTCTACGTTTTGAAACGTGACGCCTTCTGCAAGACCAGTGGCCCACCATCGCTTTTAAACGGTTGCCGGGTCGGCAGGTACAACGGTCCCGACTACATGGACCCACTGCAGCGCGCTCTGGACAGGGGGTCGAAGGCACTCTTCTTCGTGGATTCACCTCTGGTTTTGGACTACATCTATGTCAAGTTTTCCTGCACTCTGCCAAACTGGGCCTCGAGTAGCTCCATCCCAAAGACGATCAACGCCGGATTCTACACGTACACTGCTTTCGATGAGTACGAGTTTTGGGAGGTTTTGTCGGTGAGGCCGGGACCGCCTGAGGCAAACCAGGGGGGTGCGTTGCAGCCACAGCCATGGAACTCCAAGAAGTGGGACGATCGCCTCCTCAGGTGAAAAAGTACTCCTGGGTACACGGAGCCTGCTCGAATGTGCACTCCCACCTCGAATTTGCACGTGTCCTCGATGTGCTGCACACCGTGCACTGACCGGTGGTAGTGCTTCGGTTTCTTAACCCTACCCAACACATCGCTACTTTGAAGCCGCGACGAGCTCTATAATAGTTGTTTTCCCATGCGATCGCGTGCCAGATTTCTCCAAGGATGGAACCCCACGGACATGAGCCCGGAAGAACAACCGCGCGGCAGATCGACGAGACGGTCGGATCGGAACAAGCTGCCACACACCACGGTGTTGCCTATGCTGCAATTCTCCCTGGCAGGGCTAATCGGGAAGCCGGCAGTGTTCTACAATGTTCCTGCCGTCCGGTTTGCCCTCGAGTTCTTGCACTATCTGTGAGCACGTCCCGAATGCTGCAGTTGTACTCTCGGTCTTTGGTTGAAATGTCCAAACTGAATGATATCGCTGATCTTGTACTCAAAGAGCGATTCCATCTAACTGACGGGCCTAACCGTTTTCGATGAACCGCTACTGATCACCATGACCAATTCGTGGTTGTTGCGATCGAGAGTTTCACACCCCAAACGTTTTCACCATGCCCTCGTCGTTCAGGGTGATGTTGGGGCTGTTTTGCGCTTGCGTCAAGCTGCAGGACAGCTACAGGATCCCACCCGCCGAGGTTGCATTCTACGTCTTCATGGCGGTGAGCAATACGTTGGCAGCTTTTCCGAGCAGGTTGTAAGACCGACTTTTGCAGACTGGTTCAAATTTGTGTTTGACGAAATGGAAAAGTTCCGTTTGTCTCAGTACTGTATTTCTTGGGTCACAAGCAGGCTTTGCCAACCCCCAAATGGGAATAAACCAAAAATATCAAGGAGAAAAAGAAGCGACACGGAAAATAAAGCAAATGAATGTTGGGAGGGAAATCATGATTGAATAAGGCTCAGATTCATACGAGACAAGACATTTAGAGCTCGTCGCTCCCACTAGGTACGCGAGGAAACGCCAGAAAACATCAAAGGAAAAAGGAGACCACAAATCAAGACAGATCAGCTCATGATATCGTTGTTCACCATACTCTATCGGACGCCGAAAAAGGCCCGAAAATGATACTCGTGGTAGGTTCAAATCCACGTTTGGGTGCTTCCCTCGACAATGTGCAATTGCACGAAGACGGGGTTGATTAAACTCTATGTCTTCTATGCACAACGGAAAGCATTCCCTCCGACAAGCGTTTCCACGCAATATCTCTGCTAATCAAGGGCACACTTTGGCGAGAAATCCTCGAGTTCTGCGACGGCGTACCAGCCCGTCACCGGCGGCACAGGAAGGTCAAGCACATCAAAGAGGGGAATCAGGCGAACATGGCTACTGCGGCCCAGTGGGCGTCGAGCAAACGATCTGACACGGTTGACTATGAGCAAGGGAGGGGTCTGAAGCGAGTGGCATCTGCAATCACCAGGTGCTGCAATCGGTAGTTTTCGTCCTCTTGATGTGCATGGTCTGGTTTTGCTTGCACCCAACATTTGTAGCCGTTCAACCTCTCAACCTTTCGTGCTTCGTTGGCGGGGCTTGCACAAGGCAGCTCCTTCTACTACATATCCTCATGTTGATCTCGTCTCGCCCCAATTTCTCCATTCGACACGAGGTGTCATTCTGTCCACGCCATGGTCGTAGCCGCTGCCGGTTATATTCCGCTCGCCTATGCACCTGCACGTACCGGCGAATGGCTGCAGTGTTACAACTATCCGCTCCCTCGGCAGGTATCTCTTTTACGACACTTGGAACTTGCTGGACACGCTGACATTATCGACGGTTTTCCTGGCCTTCATTTTCCGCCTGCTGGGAATACGCGAGTTCGGGGGACCTGCAGACCCGGGGGACTACTTCTTTGTGGCCCAGTTCTTCCTAGCCGCCAGGTACGCGGGCACGACGGACGTGTAGCAAGAGGAAGTTCAACCAAATATGTGTGCTTGCCTCCAACCCGCCTTCCCCTGCGCCATCCGTCTTTGGTGCCACTGGTCTCTTTCTTTCTGCAGCTACGCAATGCACCCACTCCTACCTGCGACTTGTATTGCTCCTCTAGACAACTTGCGTACGCTTTTCAGAGGAAATCAGGGCTGTCCTTGTTTATCCTCTCGAAAAGGAATACGTGATAGAGGCCCTCGCCTCTTCGAAACCATTCAAAGGGAAAGACTGTTCAGCCATACATATGCCAACCGACCCGCACTCCACCTTACACCTCACATGCCATCTTGCAGTGCGCCGCTACTGTTCGCGAGGCTGTTGCGACTTTCCCAGATTGACAGCACGCTGGGGCCCATGATTCAGGTGAGAGATTTGTCGGTGGTTGTTTACAACCTCGATTTCTTGTTTGCCCATCCTCTACACGTATTTCCTAAGGGTCGACTTTGTTGAGTGAAGCCCACCCGAATCTCCATTGCAATTGCCCCGTGATCAAGCAGTAACGAGCATTCCCCCTGCCGATTAAACTGTCCTTCCTGCCAGATAATCTGGAGAATGCTGTCCCAGACCCTCCGCTTCGGAGTGTTCATAGTAGTGGTCATGGCAGGCTTCGCCCTTGCGTTCAACGCCGTGTTTGGGTCTTGCGACGCCGGGAGTGACCTGGACGAGAGCTACGGCTCCTTCGGCACAGCATTCCTTACCGTCTTTAAAGCGCCGCTTGGGGAGTTTAAGTTCGAGGACTTCGATGACGTCGGCGGCCAGTGCCCGTACAATCCTTCACCGGGGCGGGCTAGCGATGCAGGCACCTTCTTGCTGGTGGTGAGTGGGCGGTTCTCCTGCAGGGTTGTATCGAATACCATCCGGTGGGGCTCAGGTGGGGTTGGTATTGTCCGCAAACCTCCTTTTTTGTACGAACCCGTGGGTCTTGAAAATCTCGATTGTTGTCAGATTCTTATCCTGTGGAAGCCGTGTAAGTCCTCGGCTCGGGTTCCACGGCCATGATACCATTAGGCCGCAATTACACCGCTGCCATGATTGCTACGTTGCAATATGGTCGAATCCCTTGCAGCCATTGCTAGTGTTGACGAGTGATTTTCATAAGATCCATCACCCCATGCTTCCACTATTCTGCGACTCCTCTGACAAATACTTCCCTCCACAACACTGGCGCCCCTCTCACCGCGCCAATATTCGTCTCTGCAAATCTTCACCACCAGGCGTACTTGGTCGTTCTTGCGGTTGTCATGCTCAACCTTCTCATCGCCGTCCTCAGCACGGCTCACGGAGAGGTAAGGGAGGCCCCCGGCAACAGCTTGGGGCAGTCCATCTTGGATGTGTGGTCCCTGGCAAATCCTTACTCAAGGCCAATGCGTACGCTAGGCCGGCTGTCAGGTTGGCACTAATACATCGATTGGCCGTCGTACCCTATAAGACGTTCAGGGAGCGATCTGAAGTCTGCCACCCACAACAAGCATTCAAATATGTTTCCCTGTTTTATTCGTAGGTATACGCCAACGGTGAAAAGGAATTCCACCTCGCCCGCACGAGGTTGATCCTACAGAGTGCGCGCGCGGTTGCACACCGACGGATTCCGCCACCGTTTAATCTGGTCCAGCTGGTGGTGGGTTTCCTGTTGGATGGGGTCAGTGAGCTAGCTTGGTGGGCGGTGCGTGGCGCCGACAGGTAAGGGGTGGAGAACGGAAACAATGATAGGGCAGTGAGCGAGTTTTACTTAGCGAAGACAAGCAACGGACTTGAATATTAGTGTAGGTGAAGGATCTGCAGATGTGGGAGTTTTGTTTGTTGCTTGCGACGACATTTTCGCGAAGACTGAACAGGTACGACATCTGACCGGTGTTCAGGTGTGGACTGCGTCAGCATAAAGAAAGCTTCGCGCCGATTACTTACACGTATGGCTGGCACACCTTCGACGGAATGCTGCAAAGGCTTCTTTTCGCGTCAACGATGGGTTTGGTCGCAGTGACGCTTAATGCGTTGCTCTGGGTGCTCTCCCTTCCGTGGGTGGCGTGGAGAATCGTTTGCTGGGTGTTGTACAAGGTGAGCGACACCAAAGTTTTCATGTGGCGACGTTCCTTTCCAGGAGGCCAACGAATCTTTCCCCCCAAGTAAGGCTTTCGAAAACAAAACTGTCACTCAATAAATACAGACCGCCGACAGCGTGCTTGATTTTTTTCCCAATTTTGCACTTTCAATCTTCTCCTCAAAGAATGTGAAACCTGAACCCTTCCTCCCTCGCCCCTCCGATACGATGTTGGCATCGATGTTGAACTACACATCGGGGGAACTGTGGTCTGAACATGACAGGTCGTCGAAACCGGGGACCCCGATGAGGTTGAGACGTTTTTGTCGGTCAGGCTACGGGACAAGAAAGGAAAATTCAGAGCGTTTCTGTGGGTCTTCCTGGGCATCATAGCTTGCGTGTTCGCGCTCGGCTTCGCTGTGGCGCTCTGCGGGGTCTGCGTTGCCGGATCCTTCGTTCTTTGGTTGCGTGGCGTGTGCAACGTCTTCGAGTGGGCGCACTGGAGACTCTCCGAGGAAGGGAGGTTTGTTTCAGGCGAAACCAAGAAAGGCACTTGTCCCACGGCAATGCCCGGGCAGGAACGCGGCTCGAATTGGCGGCATGCCTGGAAGTACGTTGCGAAAGCCCGGAACTTCCGGATCAGACACGAGCACGACTCGGAGCACTTCCATGTCGCCCCATTACTCCAGGCTACGACCGGGCTTGACATGGAGCAGTTCTGTCTTCTCGCCAAGGAAAAATTCAACGACAAAAATCAGGAGCACTGGGCGGACTCGCCAAGTGCAGGAAAATGTGTTGGTGGTGGAGGCCTGGACGATCTGGAACTGGATGCAGGTGGTGGTTCTGTTTCCCGCACCCAGGCAAGTGCAGGTGTACGAGACCACGCGTGCGGTAGTTGGAGCTTTCCTCCAAGCATTCCCCCATGTCACACGCAGAAAGTAATCCTCGTCGCCAGGCGGTGTTCTGGGCAGTCTTGAACACTGCGCCATCCCTGAAGCTGTTGAACCTGTGTTGTGCAAGACGTATCGAGTCAAGCTGTGGTCGAGATGGATTGTGCTTGATGTGCTTCGCTTAAACCCACCGGATGGAACATCGACCTGTCCCCGATGAGGTTGAGGTAAAAATGATAAGAGATCCGGCCATGACACCCGCTGGGGATTGTTGATCTAGCTGGCTTCGCACAACTATCGTTGCCGGCGCCGGTGGTTCCTCCCAAGCCTTCATCAGTGTAAGACACGACCTATGGTGATGTCTTCAAGTACGGCGGCCGTGCAATTTCGCACCCTCAGGCGAACGAAGCACCACAGCATTCCGGTACGAGTCGCACTGATCTCTCGCCAGACTTCAAGACCAAGGTGGACGAATTCCTCACAACCGTGACGACCCGGATGAGGGAAAATACCGCAGCCACCGAAAACGATGGGGGCGAAGAGAAATTTGCACCAACCACCCCAACATCTCACGATCTCGGGCAACAGCAGGATAGGGGATGGACTCATAAAGGAATCCAAGTGCCATATTTTGGCGGCGAGGAAGTATCGACAGACCGAGATGGAACAGCGGTGTTTCCACGTGGTGGTGGTGCAGAGAAGGGTAGCACGGATAGCCCCGACAATGAACCAACGGAAAGCAGCATCAGCGGCGATGGCGGCAAGTCTGATTCTGATCTTCCAGAAATCTTGGAACTCCCTCCAGTTTGTGAAAGGGGTAGCCCACAGCGAGGGATGAATTTGCTAGGATCAATGGATGGGAGTTCACGAGGGACGGCGATACGACATACATCAATGCCCCACCACACGTGTGGAGGAAACTGAAGCTATCGAGGATTCGTGTGCTGTAGGGCGGTAGATGCCGTTCGGATAGTCTCGTCATAGTTTCCAGAGGGTTATATGTGCGACCTTCGTATTGTTGCACACCGTTGTACTATTGAGGAGCGTTGCCGTGGAAGGTGTGCTTGCAGCATCATCCATGAGCGTGCAAAATTCCCGCTGGGGTGCATTTAGTATATGAAAGTCGTTAGATATCCGCGGGCACGATGGCCTTGCTTGCCATGGTTTCCACAGTGGTCCATGCTTGAGCCGGATCACCGCCAAAATGATGGAATTCATGTAATATGCCTGTGCAACATGGAATTAGTCCCACGTTCTGGTACACTTGCTGATTTGGATTCCTACGTCGACATGTGCCGTCGTTTGCACCCTGCCACAGAGCGTAACATCTATATATATATATATATCCGTAGAGCGTGAAGGTGGCATGACAGTGAAATAGTTCGTGGTGTAGTTTGTGCTAAACGCCTGCCATTCGCTCGCACTGCAAGTAGTGGGCATGCAACCCTTGGGCACGTTGGTCGTTTTTTCGATTTTACCGCTGTGATATTCTTTAGACTACCGTAAGCCTCTCTACTCTGTCGAGTGCGCGTACGCCCGAGGCACGCGCGACCACATCCGGAACTCGTTTATTGCTGTGGTTGTTATTGCTGTGGTTGTTGTTGATGGTGATGGTGCTGCTGTTGCTGTTGCCGACAAATGGAAGGTGGGCGTCCTGGACGAGAAGGCTTTGCGGCTGAAGGTGCAGCATGTCGTCGAGGCCCAACGTTACCTGCAAAAGTAGGTTCTCGACAAGGTGCAGGCGAGTCGGAGTCAGCACCGAGCGTATGCGCGTGTTGGGAGCCTATCTGAAATTGTGGTGGGGGACTACGTGTTGATGGCACGCATTCGCCGGCGTGGGTTCACACCGAAAATTCTTATCACCTGGAGGGGGCCGTGGAGCATTGTCGTCGCCGAGAGACCGCAAGTGTACGGAGTCCAGAACATCGTGTCGGGCGAAGTTCGGAATGTCCACGTCGCGCGCGTGCGGTTCAACGCCGATGCCGCTCTCGATTTCACGGCAGAGTTGAAGGAAGTTTGTCAGCATGCTTTCGCGCGAGATTGTGGAAATGTTGGTGGCGGAAGACGGTCCTGGGTTTGATGTGGAGGTGGAGGGGTTCGGTTTCGACAAGGAAGACAAACCTGGGAAAAGCTGCCAAAGGTCCGGGATGCCGTTTGTCAAATCCGGCCTGCGGCGGCTGGGTTTTCCGAAAAAGGTTCGGGCTCAGTGGAAGCAACAATACGGCATTACCTTGTAAGTAATTCGTTTGAGTTGAGTGAAGGCCGTCTTGTTTGTTTGCGTATGGCGTTTCTCCGCTAACTTCTCTTGAGTTTGTGCTTCATTCGTTTGAGTTGAGTGAGGGCTATCCTGTCGAGTATTGATGGCATTTCTTCGCTGACTGCTTGATGTACATTCTTCAGCATGCCGCGCATTTATTTGGTTGTGGCGTGCCTGACTCTGGCATGTGTAGGTAGACCACTGTCAACCGCGTTGCCTAGTGTTGGGGGTGCCTTGGCTAGTCTGATGGTTGCATGTGGTTGAACTGCTTTGAGGCCGCCTTTGACACCGTGTTGGTGGCAGTTCTCTGCGAGCTGCGTACGTTTTGAATTTGTAACGTTGATTGGCTTATTCGGCAATCATGTCGATCGTTGCACCATGGATATCGATATTTCGAGGAACTTCAATTCAACCTTGGAAGCGCCTCGCAACGGCTTTTGTTGTTTCTTTCATCGTTTTCCCTGCGCGTTGCAAACGAACCCGCACGCTTCAAGTTGGTTGCGCCGTGTTGGTCGTCTATCAACTACTTAAGTTTGCTTCTGTTTTCGAGCGCGCGGCCTTAGCCAATCTATATAGTGTGATCGTCCGTCACCTGCGTGTTGTTGTCATTTGTAGCGTCGCGTGCCTTTCATTGTTGAATGGGAGCATTCCACGCTTTACATGGGAGGTTGAACACTTGCGCTTACTAAAGAAATGGCATGGTACTCCGGCATGAGATCCCCATGTATCGCTGTTTATCATTCATGAAACACCGCTGTCGATTATCTTGAATATTTCCAAGTGCCTACTATCTGATGGGCATTGTGGATGCGGTGCACCTGGGTAGCAGTAGTTCACGGTGAGGAGCCGACTTTGCATATCTGCACGTCTAAGGTAAGGTAGATCGGGGTTTCAATTTGCCTGGTTGGCATGTTTGAGGAGAGCGAGATTGATGATAGATAAAGAGAGAGAGACTCGTTCGTGTGAAATAATACATCTTGCTACCATCACTCAGAAGGTACATCGACCAGCCCCCCCCACCGAGGCCACGTGGGGAGAATTCTGGTCCTAGACCCTGCTTATTTTCAGTCGTGTCTACAGGTATCTTCTCTTTTACGACTTGGTATGAAGAAGATACTTGCTCAATCACGTATCTTCTTCGTACATGTATCATACCCGAACAATAGGAAGCTAGGATCTCGTGGCATGTAGACTAGATTATACAGTCTACGCAACAATCGAGGGAGAAACAGCTGAATCATTGTCGCTAAAATAATGAACGCAAGCACCGCAAAAGGAAGGAAGATACTTCAACTCCTGTGTGATCCCGGATGGTACGTCCAGAATTGCTCCCTTGGAAGGTTTAAGGACGACGTGCAGAGATACCCGGCCGAATCGGTCCGTAGTTCCTCTCGCCCCGTATTTCCGAAGAAGTTCTCATGAGCCACCAGCACAGCAGTACATCAATTGATGTAGACTACGTCTAGAGGGGGCCTCTCTCATGTCTAAATAGCGTGTGAACCTATAACGGTTGAAGGGTACTGTACCCTGGTACGACTGTACAGACCACGGCTGGTGGAAGTCTTGCGTCTTGTCTACAGGGCAATCATCATCGACACCACTGCTATCATTCTTCTGCTGTTGGGGCACCTAGTCTAGTGTATGGTTCAGCGAGGAGTACAACAAGCTTTGCTTCCGGCCCTGTCGGTACTCTTCTTCTGGTTGTGGGCCAAAATCATGTCATGGCTATGTCGTAGATCCACGCCCGCCTCGGCTCCGTGCATGGTGGCGAGCGCGTGAGTACACGCACGAAACGGCGCTATCGCAACGACGGCCTCTGGTGATGCGTACGAGCGACGAGTATACGGCAGAACTGCCGGTCCCGTGCAGGCATGCTTCAAGACGAAAACGCGGAAAACCCCGTGCAGTGCATGCTTCAAGACGAAAAGAGGAGTAACCAGAAACGGGTATACCCGGGCACTTCGTCACCACTCTCGGATACACTTAGAAATCAACGCGCCTGCACCCCCAGGTACCCCCAGGTAGCTGGCGGCATCTCCAGACTGTCTGGTGTTACCGATGCTGGTTACTGGTGTACCCGGAAAGGGTCGATTTTGTACCCAGAAATCGTCATATATTCCCGGCGCCGGCGACTCTAACCGTATGCCGCACATACCCGCACGCCACACCGTATACCGCACATGCCCCACAGTAGCCACACAAAACCACCAACGCTTGTTGACGGGCACATTGCCTCCAAGGATGCCAATCTCCGACAGCCTCCTCCTCCATAGATTGCGGCGAAAATCCAACCGCCGTGCCCGGCCCCCGGAGGCAGGTCCTAACCACACACAACACACCTCACCCACGCACCACACGGCGGTCATCATGCTGGGGAGTGGCAAACATTACAAAGACGCAAAGATGTGGCGGCCATGTTCTCGGCAGCTGGCCGTAGCTTTCATTCCGGGAAGGGAGGCGGCAGGCAGAAGAAGTACATCTGCAATGGCGTCGCAGGAGGATGCCAGGCGACCGTGCGCGCCTGCAGGCAGAGGTCGGGAGAGTTCAAGGTGACGTTTTTCATCCCGGAACACAACGACTGCTCTGGCGGCAAGGTCGGAGCGAAAGCGGCTGCGCTCGAGGGCTTCGCCAGTGCCGCCATCAACCCGACCATGAAGGGCACCGACCTCAAGAGGAGCCTGGAGCAGAGCACAGGACTCAGGCGTCACGCCTGAAGGTTACGGCCACGAGGGCATCGAAGGAGCAACTGGAGCACGGGTACCGCGTCATGGACTCGTACTGCAAGGAGCTGGTCAAGGACCGTCCGGGATCGGTTGCGGTGGTGCAGGTAGGTGGATTATCAGCGGTGGTTGAATTCGTGGGTTGTTGTTGTTGTCTTCACAATAAAAACCGTTCCGATCTCTCAGTACCTTCGTATGTCCATACTGATACAACACTCGACGCGGTCGATTCCCGTGGTCGCAGGCTAACTTACCCTAAAATGGTACACTGTGTAGAAATGGCTTGAATGAATAGTGTCTGCTGTGGGTAGACTGCACCCCCGATGTTGCCTCTGCACCACCATCCAGCGAGAGATTTTTTGGACGAGTTTTGAAACTTGTTTGGATTTGGAATCGAACTTGTGCCATCCTCCTACCCCCCTTCGATGTGTTTCGTCATGCTCGGGCGTGCTGCTCGCGCTGCGGTGCGAAGCGCGATGAAGGTGTGTGTCACGCAGAGTTGCGATTGGCCCTTTCCATTTGTAATCGGAACACACGTGTGCACCTTTGCGCCCTCCTTGTTGCACGGTGCATGTTGTAACCCATAGCGCCACCGGTGGCGTAAATAGACAAATCCGTAACCCATTAGAGTATTAATTTGAGGATATTCCTGTTCTAACACCACGTAGACTGTGTTGAATGCAGTTAAACCCTTGTGTCGAGTGTCATTGTCATCTGCGCGCCCGGAGATGTGTTCACGAGGATGTGGTCAACCGTCTGGGGTATAGGCGGACGAACGCACTGGCCCCCCATTACCCCTCTTGTACCAGTCTAGGGGGGGAGGGAGGTGTACTGATGTAATCGCATGCCGTAGGCGTTAGACCATTGACCTCGAATCCCTACAAAGCGGGACGGAGCCACGCCGGGTTCTCACCGGACCAGACTCTCACATCACCAAGCGCAAAGCGCCGCGAGGTATTCGGCGAGTTGCATGAAGGGTGCGGTGCATCCTGCTAAGGGTGTTCGGCATCGCGCGCTTGCTTCCTTGCATATGGATGACAACTGCAAATGACTTGATCATTTATTTTCTGGTTTTCACTTGCTCTTTGCACGTCCAGAGACAGTTATGAGCACTGTGGAACCAACTGCCTCGAAGGTGCTCGCCCAATTTAACACAACGTGGTGTTATCATCCCCTTTGCGCGGAGCGAGGGTTCCATCACGGTTGCCGCAAAAAATAAGACGGCAAAAAAAAAATTCGGTAACCTGGTTGTCGAGCTCACGAAGCGATCGGCTTGTTTACAACGTCGTTGCCAAGCGACGAAAACCTCCGGGGGTACCGGGGGAGGGCATAGTAAACGATACAGGGATCGACACTCACCATCTTTGTTGCCTTGCTACTTGCGTGGTGCCCGCTTTCCCTTCCAACAAGCTCTCCCTTCTTCCCCTCGCTCCTGGACAAGCTTTTGCTTAGACATGGGTTGTAGTGAAGGGGGGGGTCTTTCTGGCGAGCAGGGCTAGACTCACCCTCAAGGGATGACCGAAACCTTCTTGCTGCTGCGCATCCGCCGCGAGGCGTGCGTGTGGTGGTGGAGTTGGGTCGGCACTGATGGGGTCAGCCGGGAAAATGTAGATGCGCGGGCCTTCCTGGCCGTCGGTGTAGGCAGTGATGCCCATCTCATATTTGTGCGCGGAGGCAGTCACCATCAGAAAGGTGGACGGGCACTACACGGCCCTAGGTTTGCTAGAGGGAGCTGTATTGCCTCAGTAACCTGGCTTCGCCATCAAAGGAGGAGGGAGCAGGTGGCGACGAGCTGAACTAGGCTGGTTGACCATTCGGCGCGAGAATTTTTATTTTTTT